CGATCGAAAGCCTTTTTCAAGTGATTTTCTTCTGAAAGAGTAGTTAGTATATGTCCAAAAGATGAAAATGAGCGAGGTAGGTTAAAGGCTAAGACCTTTTTTGATACAGGGATCAAACTTAGCTGACCTTTTGGTGTTTGCAGTGGTCTGGCGACTTTGAAAAGACTCATGCATGCCGCTGTAAATGCCTTTTAGTCTTTTCATGCTTGTATACTAAAACAACATATTAGTCCACTCATCAACTTTTGAATACCATTTGGCATGTCTTCAGACAGCGTTGCAAAGATTCAGGGACACCGGGTTAAAGTTTAAGGCTGTAAAAATGTTATCTCCCCTGATCTAGTATACACTTTAGAATCAGATCTCAGCTGAGGAGCTAGGCACGGACCCAGCCAAGATAGCCGCTGTGAAGCAGTGGCCAGTACACACCACAGTAGAAGACTGGGGTGATTCTTTGGACTTTATGTCAAAAAAGTTATTACAGGAGGGTTTTTGTAGCTTGAGGGCACTACACAAATACATTAATGTGAGTGTTCGGGAAAATACCCAGCTAAATGGAAAAACCAGTTTGAAAGTGTGAGGACACCAAGAGTTTTTTGAATAGCTGAAAGAGAGGCTTACGAGTGTTTCTCTCCTCGCTTTTGCTGATTTCTCGCTCTCATTTATATTTGAGATGGATGCCAACAGCTTAAGACTGGGAGCAGTTCTTTACCAGGTGCAGGGTAGCAGAAAACATGTCACAGCACATGCCAGTAGGAGACTGAAGAGTGCAGAAAGAAATAACAGAAATTACAGCAACATGAAGTGAGAGCTGCTCGCTCTCAAATGGGCTGTCTGGGAAATGTAAGAAATAACTCTGGCTGCAAATTCACAAGATGGTGAGAGACAAGACAGAGTGAATGCTTTTTTTTATGTATTTCAGTGAGCTGTTGCTTGGTCTCTAGAAGACAAACAGATAACCACCCTCTGCTCCACCTTTTGGGAGATGAAGAGGAGTTTGATGGCTGTAACCTTTGTCATTTGTAACTTAATCAACTGAGCAACAGCTTTAGTGCCAGAGATAGTAAGCGCAGGCTTAAAGTGTTGTCAGGTCAGGCAAGCTCATGTCATGGCAACTGAGCAAGATAGTCACCTTAGAGACTCCCAGGGCAATACATCCACTCTGGCAGGTTATGCTAAGTAAGAGCTGCAACAGTTCAGGCAGTTTTGAGCCCAAAAGAAAAAGCTTACCCATCACCAGAGAAAAGGTTTGGCTAAACCTTTGACTTCTCTGCTCTGACAGTGGCCCCAAGTCAGGAAAACTGAAGGATTGCTGTATCAAGTAATCAATGATGGGCATTTAAGAGAGTATAGTTTTGTTTACAGGAAGCTGTTCTGGAGAGTGTACAACAGGGACTGGAGTGCACGCAGAATCTGTTAAGACAGATTTGAGTTGGTATGTATGATGAAGTGGATAAATGGGTATAACAGCTATAGAGGTGTGTGCCCAGTTGCCACAGCCCAAAAGACGTGCTCTCACGAACCCTTTTCTAGCCACTAGACCTCTTGATTTGAAGTTCACGCTGACTTTCACATGACCAAATACTGGTACAAGTGCCAAAGTCCTTCTCTGAGAGTGGTTTATTAAGTAGTACTGTGTGCCTGAGAGCATTCAGTTCAAAACAGCAATTTTGAAAATGGGGTTTTTCAGGAGCCGCAAAAGTTATATGAGGTCAAGAAAACATTGAATCATCGTCAAGGTAACGCACAGTGGGAACGCTTTAACAGGACGCCTCACGGCCTATCACGACACAGCTTACTACTGGAGAAGAAACACTGTCGGCCTGAGTATTTTCAAGAACTATTAAATGTGCACAATGGAACTCCCCATGAAACGACAGGTGACTCACCACATTACCTCTGGCTTGGAGTGCAGTCACACCTTCCTGTAGATGCTTTGCTAGGTCAAAAGCAGGTATAGAAATAAGGAAAAGGATTATGGCTCATTTATGTTATCATATTGGTTTTTAGGCTGGACATAATTATTCCACAGGTAACTGGCAAGAGTGTGGTAAACGGGTCCCTAGCTGCAAGGGCACAATCTTAGAGGGGGGTGGCCAAAATTCAGTCCCTCTGGGCGCTGGGGTGTGTGGTGGTAGCAAAGAAAACACAACTTGCAAGGGAGTGTGAGGTCCACAGGATTTGTTCCTTGCCGTGTTGTCTAATTTGTCCAGGTTCATTTGTCCGGCAGCTTATTATGCAGCATGGAGAAATGAAGTTCAAATGTTAGTGCTCTTTGATTTACTGAGTAGAATGAGTTCCTTGTGTTCTCAAAATAATGATCTGTCAAAGGTTCACAGCAGCAGTCGGCTATCCTAGAAAAAATATATCCTAATGCAGTAGTTATTCAAAGTAAGACATGTAGGACACTGGGCTAAGAAGATGAGGTTCAACACTAAGCACGTGGCAATGTGTGACATTCTCTCGCCCATCTTTCGCTTCATCATCCTACTTTCTCTTCCTGTGTGTTGCCGATGCTGATGTAGAGGGTGCTGACAGTATGCCTTCTTCATCAGAGTCATTCCCACTGCTGGTGGTGGTGTCTGACAGTTCGCTGGAGGGCCTGAATCAGTTATTGGTCATCTGGTCATTGTCGTCATCATCATCCTCTTTTGGCCACTTCCAGGTACCGGGCTAGAGAGCACTAACACCGGGGCATCATCCTCAGAATGATTTTCAGTGTCACGTTCAGCTTCAGGTTAATTCCAAATTGGCTTCTCACCATTACTACCCTCTTCATCGGCCTCTTCCGCAGTATTTTCAGGATTGTCCTCAATAATTATGTTGGAAATGGCATTGTGCTGGAGTTGTTCAGGAAAAAGAGTTCAAAATACAGACGATTTCCTCATTTAACAGGTCACACATTATACCAACCCACAGCCAGCTGACCAATAGACAAATTATGTCAATTTCTGCATATCGTTTCACTAAAAGTAATGCCTGGAATATCCTACCCCTATAAAAACAAATAGATAACTATTTTACTGTTTTAATGCTCAGATAGTGGGAAAACACTGGGAAATCTGTGCAAATCTCTGTGCAATCCAGTTGTATCTGAGAGCTAAATCAGTTTAGCTTACACATTTCAGCAGCAAATTTCCCTTAGTGCTGCCCCTGGCAATAATGTCCACAACACTGAAGGAATTATAGTGACACAAAGAGACCACAAGATGGTGCCATTATTTAGGTAGCTGATAACATTTGTGGGCTTTTAAGTTTAGGATATCATTTT